TGGATGTCATCGCTGATCATCAGTGATTTGGTGGCTAATATCGAGTCGCAATTCTTGGAATAAAACATTAAATTGAGGTCCGTCATATGTCATGAACTTGAGGCGAAATGAATGTTGCAGTAAATATCAGATTTTTGATTTTCAGAATCATTCACCTCGTTCAGAGCATTTTACTGTTGCTTTTCACAAAGTAGCCCCATTAAAACTTAATTCCATGACGAAACATAATAAGTTTAAATCAATCTAAATATTATTTTAAATAATGATAATTTAAATAAGTTCACAATTGCAAGTAACATCGTTCAGGATTCGATCCTACAACCTTCAATACACAGAACTGATATACAAACCATCAGTCATTCGATTGAATTGGCAATGGGCAATCTGAGATACAAGGGAAGACGAGCTTTGAAACACCCACAATGATTATGTGTGAACTATTTCAAATGTACACGCTGCTATATCATTACATAATGATTCAATAAAATTGATTGAGCAATATCATTCATACATCGATTCAAATTCAACTAACTGAATATAGGTTTCATATTTTAATGTAGAAGAAATTGAAACAAACTTTCAAATATGTACACCAAATCATGTACAAGTAATCTTGCTTGCTCACATTTCGAGTTCTAATCTTATCAAGGTATGTAGACATACCGATCGAAATCGACGGAAGTGTTTTACTGTGAAATGAGAGCATGCGCATTCATCATTGCACATATCTGAGATGGCTTTCATACTATGATGAATGAAAACACCACTGTAAAACGCCTCATTTTGTGCGTGTATGATGACTAAATATACTACAGCATAATGGACCGCATATTTATTGTCGTGTGAGTGAAACCATCATCTGGTGCTTGGTGACTGAACACTAAAAACAAAAAATGGTTTGCATCATGCCGTTACGATGACCGAATATGCCACAAGAAAAAGACTCGCGTCGTTCTTCCGTTGTTCACAAGACTATACATATTTTAGTTTTTTGAAATACAATGACCATAATGTGAAAACCTATTCACCCAAGTGTCTGTGAATCATATTTTCTTTGAAAATAAAATAATTAGTCTTAGCCGTAATTCTCACCTGCAATCCTAAACGTTTGTAGTCTCGAATATTTTGTCTCGCAAGTTTGTCTAATGTAGACTCCATGGTTTTTGTG